TGTGTTGTTGAAAAAAGATATTTACAGTGAATAAGTCGTTGGTTTTGCAAAATTCTTTCATGCAATCTCCAGCATTATTTCTGTCACCAAGGCCAAATTTTCCAACTACTGGTGATTCTTTTTTGTTTCCAACTTTTGCACTCCAGTCACCAGTGATAGTTACCACATCCCCACATCCGATTGCATGTTTGGTCAATTTCAGACTGCAGAAGTTGATAAAAATCTTCAATTTTCTCACCTTTGGCTTTGGTGGTTGGTGTATAAATTTGAATAATAGTCATATTAACTGGTGTTCCTTGTAGATGTATGGATATTATCCTATCACTGATGGCATTGTACTTCAGGACAGATCTTGAAACATCCTTTGTGATGATGAATACCACACCATTCCTCTTCAAATTGTCATTCCCTTCATAGTAGATCATATGGTTGTCTGATTCAGAATGTCCAAAACCAGTTCACTTCAACTCACTAATGCCTAGGATATCAATCTTTATGCATTCCATTTCACTTTTGACAACTTCCAATTTTCCTAGATTCATAATTTGTACTCTCCATGTTCTGATTATTAATGGATGTTTGCAGCTGTTTCTCCTCAGTTTGAATCGTGTCATGTCAGCAAATGGAGGTTTTGAAAGCTTTACTTTATCCATATCAGTAAGGTTGGTTCTACTTTGATGATGCCGCTCTCTCCCAGTTGTATTTTGAGAGCCTTCTGACTTAAGTGGCTCATCCTCCTACACTGTTTCAGGTAGTGTTTCCAGGCTATTCATATAGTTGCCTAGTATTAAACCATACAGTGTTTCTCTGCTATTCATAAGGTTTTTCCAGGCCAATTTTTTCAGAAGTGGATGGCCTCTTCCTTTTTCCTAGCCTGTCTCAGTCTGTAAGCCATACCGAAACCTGTGCACCATGTGCAACTCCACTGGCATTTGAAACACCGGTAGCACTGCCTCAAGCCTCACAGCAACACGCCACCATGCTACGACAAACCGACAGACAAGGTTCCCTCCCTTAGTTGTTCGGAACCTCTCTACCCTCCCCTTACCTCAATCCCTCTGCCACTTCTTTGCTTTCTCCTGGATGCCTTGGATTTCTTTTCCTTTTTCCTTCCTCTTGGGGGTTGAGGCCTGGGTCCCTCCCCTTACCTGGATCCCTCTGCCGCTTAATCGCTCTCTCCTCAACTCCCTGGAATCTTAGTTATTTGAACTGTATCATCCATCATCACTCATTGGCATTCCGTAAATAACCTTTTTCTAGTTGTGCCACTGAGTCTGGCACTGGGTGGGACCCCTGGGGATGACAAAGGTGGCTCCGCCTGGGTTCTGCGGCAGCGTCTCAGCCCACCACAGGCAGTCATGTCCATCACATTAGGTGGTCTATAGATTAGGTTTAGGATAATTGACATATTAACAATATTGAGTCTTCCAATCTATGAACATGGTATATCTCTTATTTAGGTATTCTTTGATTTCTTTCATCAGTATTTTGTAGTTTTCTGCCTACAGATCCTACACAGTTTGTTTCTTTTCTACCTTAGTATTTCATAGTTTACATGATATATCTTTTCAGCATACTTATTCAATCTGTATGCTTAGCAAATAATCCAAGAAGCTGGGCTGTATTAAAAAGAGTACAGCATCAGGATTGGAGGAAGACTCATTAACAGCCTGTGATGTATAGATGATACAGCCTTGCTTGCTGAAAGTGAAGAGCACTTGAAGCACTTAGTATGGATTATACCTTAAGATAAAAAAAAAAAAAAAATCCTCACAATTGGACCAATAAGCAGAATCATGATAAATGGAGAAAAGATTTAAGTTGTCAAGGATTTCATTTATTTGGATCCACAGATACTGCCCAGGGAAACAGCAGTTAAGAAATCAAATGATGTGTTGAATTGGGCAAATCTGCTGCAAAAGACCTCTTTAAGTGTTAAAGAGCAAAGATGTCAGTTTGAAGAGGAAGATCCACCTGACCCAAGTTATGGTATTTTCAGAGCTGGACAGTGAATAGAGAAGACCTCAGAAGAATTGATGCAATTAAGTCGTGGTGTTGGGAAAGAATACTGAATGTTCCATGAACTGCTAGAAGAATGAACAAATATGTCTTGGAGGAAATACAGCCAGAATGCTCCTTAGAAGTGAGAATGGCCAGAGTTTGTCTCACCTACTTTGGTCATGTTGTCAGAAAAGACTAGACACTGGAGAAGGATATCATGCTTGATTAAATAGAGGATCAGAAAAAAAAAAAAGGAAGACCCTCAAACAGATGGATTGATACAGGGGCTGAGACAATGGACTTGAGAATGGCAATGATTGTGAGGACGGTACAGGATCAGGCAGTGTTTCATTCTGTTGAGTATAGGGTCACTATTAGGCAGAACCAACACAAAGGCACTAACAAGAACAGCATACATATTTTAAAGTTATGATAACCAACTGCTATAGAAATTTGTGAAACTTACCTATTTGTTTTAGGAGTTTTTCTGTAGATCCCTTGGGACTTT